AATCACGCGGACTACTGGAAGGAACCGATTCATTTGAGAAAAGTTCTGAAATTTAATGCTTAAAATTTAACCCAAATGAATAACTTGACTGGTTTTCCGAATTCTAATAGGTCTTTTTTCTCACTTTCCTCTACCCGTTAGCAATTTATTTTACCACTCAGTGTGTCACCATATGTCTTTATTCAATATGATTGGACGAGGATTGAAGCTAAATAAAGTCCAGTAACTCTTTAATTTCGGTTTCAATGACTTTTGAAATAGTAGTTGTTCTAAAAAATACTTAGATGGCTAAGTGATGGAAGGCTTTCAATGAAAATAGTTCTGTAAGACGAGGATTTATGTGATAAGAACTATGAAATTTTCAAAAGCATATATATTCAATGAAAAGGCCCTTAAGATAACAAAGTGCGAGAGAGAGAGAGAGGTACTGAAGAAGAGGGTCTGCGATGAGAATAGCTAAAGTTGGCTGCCATGGGAAGCAGGGTCACACACATTCAATGGGGACAGCATTAATCCCTTCGTGTGGGAGCAAGTTTTAATGGAATATGGGACAATACATCACACAAAATATAAGGGAAACGCATTTGTTACTTTTGGCGTGACTGTTTCGCCTCATTCTCTTCCTACACACCCCTTTCTGCTTCCCATTTCTCAAAGTTATTCCATGCTGTTTCTCCTTCATTTGGGTCTTGAGTCCTTCTAGTTTGTACAATAGTCACATGGCTAATATGAGTATAAAATGCTGTGGTCATTTAATCTAACTCCCATGCTCAAATGCCCGATAAATGTCTTTCAGTACTCATAATGAGATCTCAGATTCTTAAAAGTGCAAAGAACCCCCATGAAATAATCTTAGTTAAGAATTTCTTCTGAGGAAACAAGTCCATCTTTCCTTGACAGAAAGCATTTTTCAATGCTCATTTTGGGACCTTCCTGTTACTTAACTGGCATTCTGTCGCTTCAATCCTTACCCGGTGTTAACTTTTCACTGGATGTGCTCTGAAAGGTATTGAACAAGTAAACCCCAACCCCCCACCCCCCACTCCCGAATTGACCCCTAAATTATATAGCTGCAGAGAGACAATGAAAAGGAAAACACCAATGAGCGAAAGATATATATTCGGAAAAGTTCCCACAATGACCACTGCTGTCAAACTGTCATTCAATCTGCACGATCCGGTTTTTACTGGCCATTTTCAACTAACAAAATGTTAAGGCAGTATTTTATCCCGATTTGGCAAGAATAAGATACATAAGTGTCCACCCTAATACTGACAATAAATCTGATATTTGGCTTACTGATAACTTAGTTTTTAAATGTTTGGTGCACTACCACTTGTCTAATTCAGGTCATTTTGAACGAAAGTAAAAACTCGAGCAATGAATTTTCATTCATTGAACACTGAAAAAGAAAGCCTTGAGAGATTCCATGGAAATAGATTGGAGCTCGTTTATTTCGGTTAGTTTAAGGAGATGGAACATTTTGTCATTTAAGTTTCAACTTACAACTTCCAAAGTGCTCAAACATGCGCCAATTATGCAGATTTTCTTATTTATTTGTTCTAAGCACTCACTAAGAAGCATTAGCATATAAACAGAACTTGTTGACTTAGAGACTTTATTCTGTTATATAATTACATAGAATTCTGAGGAAATAATTTATTAAAGTTTCATCGACTCAATCCACCACTTGAAATGGACTACAAGTTAAGGTATTTTAAATAACAGAGAAGATGTTTCTTACAAATACTGCTCAAAAGTAGGACTGAGATTTGTTCAATTATTACTAATATGAAATAAATTACCTTTGGTGCAGGTTCCCCTTTTGGTGGTTGACAAGATAATAAAAGGCGTTGGCCTTTGATAAGTTGTTCTGGAATTGGCCCCTGCTGAAATTCGCGATCCAGATCTACAAAATAAAGAAAAGTAGCATAATTATCCAAAGCATTACCTGGGTTTTGAAAGGAAGAAATTAAATCTAGCGCGAAAACATGTGCTCTCAGAGTGGCTTAGTCACAAATCATGGCAAAGAGAATTGGGTCGCACTCACTGAGTCATTGTCGGTTTATCCGGTTCTTAAATATTTTATGGACTTCTCTGTGTGCTTGTGTGAACAACGAACTAGTTAGAGGTCCCCGTTACACATAAGTGAAACGGAATTTAGCACAATCTCAAAAGTGATATGCTTAAAGGACAACTCATCTTCCGAGAATCCACTTTCTACCCGTTTACAAAGAATTGTCTTACATAAAAAATGCTTTAATTTAAGCAAAAATTCTGCCTGATAATTCCATCTAGGCAAAAGGACTCGATAATTTTAACGTGAGTATTTACAGATAGCCCGATAGAATTAAAACCAATTACGCAAACGCTGTAATCGATCAAGATTCATAATCAATAATAGGCCACAGCTTCAATTTAAGCATATGTATTTTTATTCTACGAGTGCTAAAGCTATCATCTGGAGTGGCTTTTTTAAGACACACTTGTTCCCATTTCTCGACACTTGTGGTTAGAAAACTTACAGCCCACCAAGTGGAATCGAAACATTTCATTACACACGCGTAGTTCCCTTACCAGTATTTGTTCGCTTTCCAATCGAAAACACAGGCGACACAGACTTTATGTGCGTGGACGTGGTGTCACACACAGGGATTTGGCTGGAATGCCCTTGTCACTTCCAATGGTCCAACTTCCTCCCAACCCCCCCCCCCCCGGAAGAGAAACAGACCGGAGAAGCTGACAGACTGATTCTCTCATTTGCATAATAAGATTGCGTTATTAAGCAGACAGTAATTACTAATTTCGATGTGTAGTTGTTAGAGCGATTACTGAATCTGATTTCTCGATGAACTTCATTTAACTAACTCGTGCGTGTCTTAGGGAACTAATCTATAAACGTGACTCGAAGTTATTTGAATTTTAAGCGCAAAACACTTTAATGGAGCAAGGAAACGGTACATAGAAGTAACTCTATTGGAAAAGTTGTATTTCACTGTCCCTTGTTGACCATCGTGGTTGGTCATTCTCATCGCTTCGATTGATCTCCTGGTCTCTGATTTAGCAGTCCTACATGTTGACCACTGCATCATCAAAAAAGCGTTTCAGGAAACATTTTTGAATAATTATTTAGGATAGTGAGAAAATATCATGAAGTGCCCCTTGCGAGAAATTCGGAGTTTGTTGCCACTAGATGCTAGACAGACTCAACCAATCTTTTTGACCATTCCGTTCATCGGGTATGAACAGATGGGTATCGAATCCGTGTTCTCTAGCTTCGATAATTGCTGCTTACGCGTCTAGAAGTTGACGTTTTCCTGTTCCTAATGAACAAAAGCTGCGTTTAAATCTAGATTAACCCCGAGCAAAAGATAGTCACGTTCAAACCAAAACAGCTCTGATGATTTTGGAAGTAATTGTCTGTAGGAAGTTTTGCGAAAAAAGGTGCAACTAGTGTTTGACTTAGGGGGAGATAAGGACATATGTGCTGACAAGTGTGTTTGACGAATTGGCCTGGAATGTGGAGAGAAATAACGAAGAATGCAGTAAGAATGTGCATTATAAAGAAAGATTTAGGAAACGAAAGCCCACAATGCAAATATGTTAATGGAGAATAGTTTCAAAATTGCTTTCGAATATTTTTCGCCTTTTTTCAGTTTTCAGATATTGCCATATGCACCTATCCATATATGACATGTTTGGACGAGAGATTTCCAATTCTAATGGATAAATAATGGGTCTAAATAAACACAGAACGCCCTGTTCCATCATTTCAAAATGACAAGATATTGCCAGGATATAAATAGAGCAAAAAAAGAGAAAATACATGCCAATATAAATTTTTTCCTGGTTAAAAACTGCCAATAATTGAAAATAAGATAAGTTCAGTGCTGGTTTAGATTTTACCCAATGAGCTCTACTAGAATTAATGTGCATACACGATCTCCTAATCGGTGATATTCCAGAATTTAAACAAGCAACATTCGACAACCTATCTCCGTCTCTTACTCCCAGTCCACCCCTCAAATAATGCCAGGATAATTGGCCGTATTATTATGATGATGATATATTTATTACTCTTTATTTTTTGTTAATAACCCCTCTGAAATTAAATTCATGTGGATAGAGATGAGCAAAAAAGAAACTGTCATCACATTTGGGGATGACAACTCTTGCAAATTTGCAGTCACGATTTGCAAAGTTCATCGACACAGGTTTCTTTTACCTGTCAAATTACGGCTAAGCCAAATATTAGTAGGAGAACCTTTTTAAAAGTTATTTTTAATCTGATAAACAAACAGCCAACGAGAACTTACAAGCTTCGACAATCGTTGCATTCCTGCTAAAGACCTTCTTGTTCTGCTTCAGGGCGGGAATAAGATTCCAAACTTCGCAATTACAGACGTAGGTATCAAACCACTCCTCTAGATCCTTAGTTCGAATTGGGAGACTGAGCTTCCAGCGAGTACCATCCGCATCTAGGTTACCGTTAGAATCCAGCCGAGTTACTTGAAGTCGCTGATCACTAGTATGTTCATTACCCATATAGGGGAAAGTCTTATCAGCACAGAAGACAACAGCATGGGACACAGGTTCTGCGATGCATTCAAACACTGCAGGTTTACCACGCCAAGCATAGTAAAAGCTTTCAGGTTGTTGAATGAAGATCGGGACTCCTTCAAGATGCTTCTCATTGGAATGAACTAGATCCTTTTGATGCGAAGCATCCGCAGCACCTGAAGTAATAAGGAGAAGAATGTTGATAACGATTGCTTCAGGACACATCACCTTATCGCATTCCACTTTTGTGGTTGTTAAAATATGGACAGGAAAGATGATTTTGCACTTTTGAGAAATAACCTTTAAAAGCACCGTTGGTATTAGCCAATCAAAACGAAGTAAGTGCATTAACCAGTCAGAAGGCTGGAAAAGGATTGCGAGACTATTGGTAGATGGAGATATAATTACCATTACACGTGTATGCCTAGGTTTTTTAAGTTTTTCGAACGTTGTTTTAAATTTCTAAATTTTGGGATAAAAATTTAGAAATTCATAAGAGAGAGACTTGGTAACTTAAAGGCGCATTGATATTGATAATTGTTTAACGAAAGTGGGCGCCCTTATCACTAATTTTCAATTGTATTTGAGCTAATTTTCTATACGGGATTGCTTCATAAGATGATGAGGAATTTTCGTGGCATTGTTATTACTAAATTCGTTTTTTCAATATTTAAAATTAGATTTGGGTAAAAGTTTATTATATTTGAAATCTTAATCGGCAAAATAGCCTGGATTATGAAATAAGAAGATTTGAAGTAAACATTGTACGTACGTAATTGTAAATCACGCTATCAAGATTTGCGTATGATCATTGGCTTGAAATATGCTAATTACGCAACACTGATTAGGTTTAGATGAAAAGATGTTAATTCTCCTATTAAAGAGTAAAAAAGAAAGTTGGCTTCCAAAATTTAAAGAAACGTCAAGGGCTGCCGTTTAACGTATAAAAATCATGAGTTTGATTTATGAACTAGCCGATCGTAATGAACAAGGCCGGATAACAAAGGATTTCTCATTCAGTAGACTCCAAGTTGCAAATTCTTTTCTCAAAAGTGGGGCCGTCCGAAAGTACTATCCTAATTGAGTGCCCTAGTAATTAGATATTTAAATAGAAATGCTTATTTGGCATCAATATCCTTGATGAGTTAATAGAGGATAGGCTGTTCATATTGTACAGTTTTATCCTCATCCTCCTCACTACGTACGCCTGCCTTTGATTTGCATACGATAATCTTATTTTATGAAATGGGGGGGGGTGCGATAGACCTACCTCTACTGTATGTCGTATTTGACGACTTTCACAGTACTCATCTCACCTTTTTTCTACCTTTTCTACCTTCGTCTTTGAAATACTCTTCTGTTCCTCCCTGCCCCCCTCTCGACTTTTTTCACTTAATGTTCCTTTCCCTCTGTGAAGCCTGAAGTCAACTAAAGGGCTAATGATAAATATCAAAACGCCTGCCATTTGATATAAATAAATAAACATTTTATGAAATTTTGATACTCACCGAGTGATCAAAAAGGGAAGGTGTCAATTATTATCTCTCAAAGAAATGAGGCTACCTCGGTTTCATCTCTAACACCATGACTAATTGGTGTTACTTTGTTAATTATTTTACCACATAATCAAGGAGTTGTTTAACGATATAAGTATTATTTTTTTGTAATTTAGGAAAAGCTTGCCACCTGATCGTCAAAATTAGAATATTTAGCTGTTTGAAAAGCCATTGGGATATTCCTTTAGAAAATATTATTGAAGATGCCATCTTCACCTCTTCTAATCACCCACGGATTAAGCAATTTCTCATATTGCCCTAAAATTCAATCCAAAAGCGGTCCAAACGAGCGCCGCGCGAGCGAGCAAGAGAAAAGCGAGACAACTGCTGGTGAATATCATCTCCAAACGGCGTTGAAGACGTTTTTCGCCAACTTTCACTCATTTTCTTCACATCTTCGCACTTTTAACAAAAAGTACTCCATTCAGCCAAAATACACCCAAAAGATTTCTTCTGTAATCCACCTTCTACTAGTGCGACTAGGTAGATGTGATTTCAATCTGTTGGTTTTTTGATCAATGCTGATTTACAAGCGGTGACAACATATCAGTTTAAAAGCCTCCAAAGTTGCTAAGCTAAGGTGACTATGAACTATGCACAATTCACGTCATTGATGCAACGTTTGTGTAAACATTTGACTCCTTTTACGGTATAAATTCGAAGTCCCTTGAAACTACACTTAGGTGCTGACCTCTTGTTAAAGGATATCAAAACGGGCGATTCCCAACTGGGTAGACAACAACTTCACATTTAACTTCCACATGGATAATATTATTCAATCTTCTGCTGAATTTAGCACTTCGGCTCTTAAATACATTTTGTCAAATTCTGAAGAAAAAAATTGGCAGGAACCCCCTCACTTTCACTTGAATTGGGTAGAGGGAAGGCATTTTGAAGTCGCGCTGTTGAGAAACTCGACTTCAACTAGCCCATATGTTGATCAGGTCTTACCAGAGACACTGCTCACTGGCATCACTAGATGTCTGATCGTGAACGACGATTGCACAAACTCTGTCATAGCAGACATGCAAGTCGATCACCATCACAATAGGTTTTCTGATTAAACATCCCAAAATTGAACGTAATACCTGCTTATTACACCAATTTTAGCCTTGAACTTTGACAGCCACGCTGTCTCGGGGCCTAACTGATCATCATATTTCAAAGTCAAATGAAAATAACTGGACCTATTTGCACAAATTTCATTAAAATGACGAGGGTATCAGGAATAGAACACCTTCACGATAAGATCGATTTTAGTTAATGTTTCGAAGCATCAATTTAGCTCCATCTCATCTTATTCACCGTGAAATTTGAGATAGACACCAAAGAGACTTCATGTTTCGATATCAAATCGCCAAATCCTCATCATCTGTAACATTTTAAGTCTCGAGTGACCAGGTCGACAAACGCAACACCATCGTTGGACTATGTGTCTGAGAAAAGATTTTGCACAAACTATAAAGCACTTAAGGGGTTGTCAAATTAAATTTGCCAAGTAAAATTAAAGGTAACACAGAGGTGACCTTGTGCTTTTATCAATTTTTTACCTGTCTTGCGTTCAGTTCCCCTCAAGAACTCTTTTCATTAAATTCCTATTGGGTTTATTCAATTATCCAACCCCCCCCCCCATATATTGAAGTTCTCATTCTCATTACAATAATTACTTTATACCCTATTCGCGTTGAATGGTTAGCATAATTAATTTACTACCAGCTTCACGCTTCTGCTTTCTTTACTGAGTTCTAAAATGGAGGAGCCAATGATATTTGATAAATTAAGCAATCCCATTTCACCTTTCAGCAAGAAAAAATATTTTGGGATTTACTTTTTCACATCTTTTTAATTCAAAATATTTCCGCTCATCCAAGATCTGATACTGCCTCTGTCTACTTTCTGCCTTATTCTAAAGGAGTTTGTACTGTTGATCCAAGTACGAAATAAATAATTTTACTTACAGTAATACAAGAGTGCAATTCTTAATTGGGAGAAGCAACTGTAGGAGACGCGCTCAATTGGTACTGAGATAAGAAATAATTTTTCGAATTCGGATTGTGCTGTAATGGGTAAATGGATAATTCTCTTTCCATAATTCAAATTTCATGATCCCCTCCCTAGATTGCAGTAGATGATCAGCGCCTGTCGACCGGCTTTTTAATTAAGATGGAGTCGATCTTGTCAATCTATTTCTCTTTTTTAAAAGCCTGTGAAGTTTTGTACGCAAATGCTCAAATGGGAATGAAACCTAAAGGAAGGTAGGTTTCTTTTCTACATTTGGAACGTGATGCAGTTTTAACGAGGAGGCACAATTAAGAGGTTCGCAAAGTTCTTCAGTCGGAAATTGCGCAACAAAGAGGTGGTCCTGCAGAATTTGTGGTTGTTGTCTTTATTTTGTGTCAAGTTCGGCGGCGCACCAAAGTCAACATTCTCCCTTCTTTCCCTTCCACCTTCCACCTCCCACCCCNCCCCCCCCCCCCCCCCCCCCCCCTCCCCTTTCATCAGTCAACTTGTTACAATGCCCTATTTTCAATAAAAACGTGAGTAGTGATGTAAGAACTGGTTAAGTGTAAACAGTATTAAGATACTTCTAGTCCACCAACGTAGTATACACGTGGGGATTAATGTTTCCTTGTAAATTACTACACTTAAACAAACAAATAGTTTATGATTTTCCACATATATATGTTTATTTTCAAGTGTTCGCTGCAAGGCTAAGGATTTAAAGTGAAATGAAATACATTTCTTTGCTAAGGTTTGCAAAATTTAAAATCATTGTCATAAATTAATTTCAGTAAAGGAGAGTATTCTGTATTTCAATGGGAACATAGCTCCAGTTATAGGTAATTTATCTCAATTAAAGACACCATTTCCTCTACATTGACTAATCGTTATTTTGAACGATTTGAACGCTTAAAGGAAAGTGTATTCGGCAGTTGAATTTCAACCAAGGGATGGAAGGATCTACTAATAATTATGATTTTTTTACTTTTTGTTGTACGAATTCAACAACTGATGGGTCTTTGCGCTAGCAATTTTAAAATTGCCGTTAGAGTGCAAAATTATTGGGGGTTCTGCCGACTATTCTTCTGTTCCCTTTAATTGCAAGTCATTTACCCTTATTAAAGTAGTGGACGGAACAGTGCGGTATGCAAAATATGTCATTCCTTTCAAAACTGTGAAAAAATTGAAATAGATTAGAGCCGCAATGAAGTAACTAATGGATACTTGAATTCAAACCTTAACTAAGTTAATTAAATGGGGATTCAGGCTAATGGATAAGCTATACATACTGATAGATAATGGTAACAAAGGTCGCGCAGTATAAGATGGACTAATATTGTGGGATATGGAAGATCTGTTGAGCTATTCCATTCGCCACCTTTATTAAGGAGGTATGAGCAATTTGGAAGATGGTTACGTTGGAGGCGAAAGGGAACTTAATCATTGGTTTCGATAGAACAGGCAAACAATGAGAACGCAATGACGTAATATAGGTATATTTGACATAGATAAACCAATTGGAAGAACCAATAAAAATTCGTAGACATCTCAACTCTGCCATTTTAAAACTGTAACCTCCTGAATAGTTTGCCTTCTTCATGGAGGAAGAAATGGACTGAAGTGACTGAACTTCGACATACAGAGTTGAACAATATGAATATACCTCGATATTGAAATGAGTTGAAGTCTTGAGTTAAAGGTAGCATTTCGAAAAAAAATTTGATTCTGTAGACATTTCCTTTGGTTCTTTTAAGTTATTGTATTGGGAGGAAATAGTGACAGGTATATCAGTTTGATGTACAATTTTCAAAAGCGCTACTCATTTTATATGCCACATTGTACCTTAAAGACGAT